GTGGTCTGAAATGGGAAAACATTACATCAAAGCCAAAGAGGTCTATTCTGACTGGACATTGACTGTGGTTCCATTAGCGTAGTTAACAACACTGTTACAATGTTGTCAAGGTGTTCTTAATGGAACAGGGTGAAATCCATGAGTTTGTGTTGTTGTCTGTTGCCATGGATATTCAGCATTTTCAAAGCTTAGATTACAACATGGTTTATCTGAAATTAATCTAATAACTAATTGAAGAGAACCAATCACAGCCCATAAGACAGGATTTCAGCACTCAATTGGTGGATCCGCAAAATAAATCTCATCTTACTTAAAGTTACCTTTGTAAAGTTTTGTCCTAAAAACGGCGCTGTAACAATGTTGTAAAGCTCTAGTGGAACCACAGCCATTGTCCAAAGACCAGAAATAATTATTTTTAAGTGCTGGTTAGAGTCTGCATGGTAAGTGTTACTCTTCACTCATACTGTATTTTGGGAATTAAACTGACTTCAAACGTACATATCACTCTGTTTTGTAGTACTAGGCTAGCTCTGTCTCATATTCAGGATGCTGAAGCTCCTTCTAAAGGTAAGTTCATATCTAGGTTTGGTATGTCAAATAGATCACATACACCCTCGTTATCATCCAAGTTGAAGTAATAATCATGATCTCCTGGTGGCGGTGACAGTCGCAGTAATGGAGCATAGACTAATGAAAAGTAATAAAAACAGATAAAATCTTAGACATTTCTACAATTTCAAAACCAAGGGGTTTTCAGAAACAAACAGTAGAGAGCAAGAGTGATTAAGAAAGGCTGTAAATGTTATAAAATTGCATTTGCAACCTCTTTTGATTTGCGACATCTTTTGATTGAATAGCTGAATGTTATTAAACGCACAACCGAGACTAATGCTGAGCAAAGGGAACTTACAAGTGGAGTATTCAGTTAATCGAAATTAGGCAATTAAAAACTATTACTAGCCAAAACAAAATTTTCACTACTTTTTAGTTGACTACTGCCTGGTTTGAGCTCTACAACGCTTACTTCATTATAACAATCATAGTTAATACAGGGGAATGGTTAGGAAACCTATTGTTATCAGGTCTTTGTTCACTTTTGATGTTGAAGCGGTCTTGACTGTGAATGATGTTTGATTTATGCTCATCCGAAATTGCAAAATAAGTAAACATAAACTTTGTCTATGGGATTGTTGTAAGGAATATTCAAATATCTCTTATAAATCTTTAAGTATTTTGAACTAGCAGCCAAAAGAAAGATTTTGGTCTGTTCACTCAGCCATTGCCAACAATGGTAAAACAAAGGATTGTGCACAGTCACGCTTGAAAAAAGTGAACAAAGACCTATAACAATAGGGTTTCCTAACCATTTCCCTCTATTAACTATGTAACAATAATCAACATTACATGACATCTCATAGATTAGATAGCTTATACTGTATAAGCTACCAGTCTGTTAGCATGTGAAATAGTTGATATAGTGCTACAGACTCTAAGTGAAGTCAAAATACATTGTAAACAAAAAAAAACTTACCTTCAGCCGACATAAGTTCATCTATAACTTCATCTGCAATATTGCCTGGCTCTGAAATAAACAAAAATTCAATCAAATTGAGGTTGAATTATCCTAAAAAAGGATAATAATAATAATAATAATAATTAATAATTAAAAACTAATCCTAATAATATATGTTACAAAAAAAGAATAGCACTGATAAACGTGTCACCCTCTATGTCTAAGGTGTCTAAGTAAGATGGGACCACCATTTTGTGGTCCTCTGTCTAAGGTGTCTAAGTAAGATGGGACCACCATTTTATGTGGTCCTCTATGTCTAAGGTGTCTAAGTAAGATGGGACCACCATTTTATGTGGTCCTCTATGTCTAAGGTGTTTAAGTAAGATGGGACCACCATTTTATGTGGTTCTCTATGTCTAAGGTGTTTAAGTAAGATGGGACCACCATTTTATGTGGTCCTCTATGTCTAAGGTGTTTAAGTAAGATGGGACCACCATTTTGTGTGGTCATCCTGGCCAAGGTAAATGTCTAATGATTTGCAGGCAGTTGAAAATTACGAAGGCCAAACGTTTAGCTGGTGTGAATGGGGTATTTACAGAAAGACTGAAAACCCACCTTTTCCATTTCCAAAGATAATGTCATTAGCAACTTCTTTGAGTTCTTTTGCTTCAATAAAAATTTGAAATTGTTTATAAGAATAAAATAAAAAAACTAAGCAAGAGTAAAAATTTTTATTCTTCAGTTTTTATATAGAGGATATTACATGGGCGTGCGGAGATATGAATTTTATCTTCGAGTGTTCAATTGATATCTCACGAGTAGGCGCAGCAAACGAGTGAGATATCTAAATTGAACACTCGAAGATAAAATTCGTATCTCCAAGTGGCCATGTAATGTTCTGTTTATTATATAGATATCGATAAAACTTAAATAAAACAAAAGCTCAAAAATCCTTTATTAAAATAGCAAGCCGATTCAACAGCGATATCTTCACGTGTGAAAGATATGGTATCTTCCACTGATGAAAGATATCAAATTTTCGACACTAGAGAAAACCTGGTATTTCATCGATATCTATATAATAAATTTTATTCATAATCTCTCCCTCAATACGTTATAACACAATAGTATAAAGATAACTTACACAAAAGCCTAAAAAGTACAAACATTACTAGCTGCTATATTATCTGAACTGTGCAAAAAGCATTGGGACTCCCTTTAAACATGTTTTTGAACAAAAAAGGAATTATGATTAATTATCATTCCAATAGGCCCTTTCGACTTCCAAATTACCACTGTGTTTCTTGATTAGACTCATTTGCTCAGGCTAAGCCTCGAATCAGTGTCTAATTACTTGCAAATACCAACGGTAAAGTAAAGAATGCACAAGTTCAACAATACAAACACTTTGAAACTTGACAGACCTTGACTGGAAAACGTGAATATTCTTCACAAAATCGAGGCATAGCTGAGCAAATGAGTCTAATCAAGGAACACAGCGGTAATTTGGAACTCGAAAGGGTCTTATTATTACTTTCACTACTAGGTATTAAAATAACAACTGGTAAGTTGCTGGCTATGATCACTGGGCAAATTAGTTTTAGCTCAGTCATATCTTGTTTCTGGCTTAACTTTACTGGTCATAATAATTGATTAAACACATTTAACCAGACAAATTCTAATTCTGGGTCTAATAGACCTAATCGGCAAACGTGTTGCTATGTATGTTACCACCCAATTCAAACCACATGGGACTAAGTTTCATCGTTATATTTTGGTTTCAGAGTTGAATTCGTAGAGACAAACACTTCTATTAACAGAAGGTTTGAATTGGGTGGTAATCTACATAGCGACACATTAGCCGATTAGGTTTATTGTACAAAGGGTGGATAGCGCTATCCGACGGATAAATCCTTATCCAGTGGATAAGTTGATGCTGTTATCCAATAAATGTATCCACTGGATAGATTTATCTGTTGGATAGCACTATCCACCCTTCGTACAACCAGGCCCTGTACTACAATTATCATCATTACTATTATTATTAACTAAAAAAATACCTTGGCTCGTCTCCATAACTTCAGTTTTTACAGTCTCACTAGTGCCTGCACTAGCATTTTGACTGACTGTATCAGAGGACTGTGAGTCTATCTCCATAGGGTCCTGCTTGAGCTGCAGATTAGTACCATTGGATTCCAGTATAGGGGGAGGAACAGGCGTCACTACAGGACTTTCTGCCGATGCATCTTTGTTTACCAGTAATACATGTATTGGACCATTTTGACTTTTCAGATGAATCTGATACTTTTTGGGCATTCCAGGATGCTGAGAAGAAGACCAAGATAATATTACCAGTAGTATTATCAAGATTAAGGCAGTTTTCAATATTCTGCAAAGCACAGGCTTGTTGTGAAATTGGGTTTTCACTGCTGCCAGTCCAGAACATCAAAGGTACCCACTGATTTTCTTAATGATTGACAGCAATGAAAACCCAAATTTCATCGTGTAGCTCACAACTACCGAGTTTGCAGAATACTGAAAACTGTAATGGGAATATACCTATTAGCCTTTTTAGAGTTTTAGCATAGCATATGTTGCATCACGGGGCTGTTTTAGGGGACACTTTAATTTATGGTTCCAAATGAGACAATAGCGAACCAGTCACCGTTGCATCAGTTTTCCCGGTGGAATTAAAACCTCAAACAACTACACAGTATTTGTTTTAAAGAGTACTACAAGGATTACGAGACAAATTTTTTATTTTCACAGGACAGTAAACAACTGAAACAATTTATAATCAATTTCCTGCAATCAGAGTTTTCAATTCCAAGATATTCTAACCAGTTTGTTGAGCGTGTGAGAAATAGAAAAAGTAACGAAGGGAAATCAGAACCGTAAGTACTCATGTGGTATCTTTTTCGCTTGCTGATAGTGAAAAGTGATAGGAAACTTAATTGTTGGGTTATTTTTAAAATTTCTTTAGTTTTCTGATGCATAAAAGGTCACAATGACCAACCAAATTAGTTTTAGCTTGGTCATACCTCTTGCTTGACGTTACTGGTCAAAATGACCAGCAAGAGAACGATTTGACTAGACAAGTACCAATTCTGACTAGACATTGTTAAGTAACCCGCTATTATTTTAAGCCCTGTAGGTGCATGAATGATTACCTCTACAAATACTCCTACCTTTTCAGGGATAGGTACTTCTAATTGAGTTCCTGACGGTGCTTGTATGGCTAGTAAAGTATCACCAGTAAACGACTGACATACATCATCATATGTAACAAAGGCAAGCTTTTCATTCTCATTGTCTTCTGATATGTTTTTCAGGCTTTGTTGTACCCATAATCTTTGTTCATCAAGCTCTTTTTCCTTGTCTTCAAGGTCCTCTAGTTCTTGTTTAAGATCTACTAGTTTATCAGATATTTCTCTTGTGTTACATCCAGGTCCAGCTCCCCTAAGAGTATAATAAATAGAGGTTATTCTAGGAGGAAAACTAGACAACTAGGCAAGCGTCTGAGGATTTGAATATACAGACTTAGGTATCTAATTGTGCAATGGGAAGCACCGGTGGCGTGCGCTGCTAATGTGCCACCTCTCACCAACGCGACCCGAGTTCGAGTCCTGCTGATCTTGATGTCATATGTGAGTAAAGTTGTTTATTGGTTCTCTCCTGTGCTTCGAGGGTTTTTTTCTCCGGGTTCTCCGGTTTTCCTCCCTCCTCAAAAATCAACTTCTAAATTCTAAATCGATCTTTGGCCTTTCACCTAGTTTGGAGCTTAGCTCCGTTGTGATTGTCCCGTGCTGTGATACAACAGCAAAAGCTTTGTAGATTGTCTAATAGGCAATACTAACATTTCAAAAATGCAATAAATTGTATTTAACATCCTATGAAGCTTTTAAGTGTGACATAAATGGTATGTGAAAATAAATTCTAAATCCAACTTCAACGATAATTATAGTAATTATAATAATTGCAAGACTGAAAAGCAGACCTATAAAGATTTTTCTTACTTTTACTTCATGACGGGATTTGATTTCTAAAGTTCTAATAATTGTTTTAGGTGTAGATTAAATCATTGAGAACTGTCATTGTTTTATTTTAGCCACTTTTGTGGCTTGTGGCTACTGCCTCCTAACGGAGGTGTATTGTATAGAACGGTCTGAACCCAGGTGAATGAATGCTTATCGAAGTATTATGATCATCCAGGTGGATGTAATCCTGAGAAAGACTATTTGATGTTTCCACACAGGTTGTCGAAACGTCAGTCACATCAAACAGTCCTTCTCAGGATTACATCCACCTGGATGATCATAATACTTCGTTATATATAATGGAGGTGTAGCAACTATGTCATTGTGTTGTGAATATATGCAGGAAGCCCAAAAGTACCTTATGTATAAACTTTGGAACTAATCATCTCTCACACAATAAATAATAATAATAAACTAAAATTTGTAAAGCCCTAAAAATATAAAATATTCAAAAGGTTTTGAGTTCTTTCTTAAAGGTTTCAATCCTTGAAATTAAATTAATTTTCAATGGTAAACTGTAAATAAATGGAAAATTAACTTTGGAACCAGTCATCGCTCAAATAAATGAGCCCAAGAAATTCACAATTCTTCATTAAATTTAATGTTTCGGTGGCCTTAGTTAATGTAGTCACACTGAAACAATTTATTTTCTTTAGCAAATCATTCATGAAGTCATTTCACATGACTTCACATTCCATTTAAAAATCTTTATAAATATAAATAAAAAAACCGGCAAAGGTTATATGCAAAGGCAAAGGTTATTTAAAAAAATAATATATAATGAAAATTCACAGTTCAACGATTTACAAATAAAAATCAAATGTAGGATTAGAAATGTATTAGAGATTATTAAATGTTGGTAATTTAACAATAGTATTCACTGTAGGCAATGTGATTATTGCTGGAATATTTACCAAGCCATGAGTCTTCATGCAGCAAGGTAAATATTCACCATAATCACTTATTTTGAGACTTGAATATCAGAGAAAAGTTGAAATTTAGGATAAACAAACATTTTAGCATTTCTTCTGATCTGGCAAACTTTGGAAAACCTCATATTCACCACTCCAGCAGTGATTATCGTCTCATAATCACTGGTCGCTCAACCTATCACAGGTCGAGAAATTCTATATTGAAGTCTAAAAATATACTAAAATATTCTAAACATTATCAAACTAATACTATACTGATTTACATAATTATTTTTATAATTACCCAACCAATAAGATTACTACAACAGAAAAATTACTTTGGCAGTTTATGTTTTATTTTTTTATCCTCAGCAGCATCCTTGGGAACCCAGGGGTGAAATTTTGTCACACGTACTCCTTTATTGCTTCCTGGGAGAAAGAAAGGAGGGACAGAATTTCACCCTTGGATTCCCTAGAATGCCCCAGAACTTTACAGTTGAGGTCAAACGCTTTGAAGTTCTAATATCAGTATACCAGACACTCCTTATTATATACAGTGTATATATATTAAAGAAATCACTGGTATAAAAATAATTTTACAATCAGATATTATTCAAGATCTTGATAGATCTTTTGTATTTTTAGTAGATTAGGATATTCAAGTTATTTTATGACCGTCCTATCACTAAATACACAAAAACATGTTGACTGTACTAGTAGAAACGCCATTATTTAGGAAATAATATAAAGGGAATTACCTAATATTTTTACAGTATGCGTTGTTCTCAATAAAAAACGAAATATGTTTAAAGCTATTCCTTAGTATAAAAGCATTAACTGTGAGAGAAAACATTTATACAAATATTACATATTTTAAAATCTGTCCTTTCTCAAGAAACCGAGGTTTTTTTATAATTGTATAATATTATTCAATAATTTCATTAAACATTAGTTATTATTGAGAGGGAGATCGGGTGCTGAAACCAAGAAGACAACGAAGCAATATGCGATGGAATTTTCCACAGCGCTTTCTCAAGGTTCTTCAAACAGTGAGTTTGACTTACTAAGCTTACTTACTTCCATTGTATACTGTTCTTTGATTTCTTCTCGATCAATCCTATTCCTTCGAGCACATTAGTTATATCGTATATCCGTCGCTTTTGTCGAACAGCAAGAGTATCAGCAGCCTACAGATCAAAACGTAATTATCGTAAACAGTTGAACAAGAAGGATTTGTGCTAACAAAGCGAGCAAAGACGGCGCTTCAAAACTCGACACGAAATCCCTCCAAATGTGGAACCAAAACCTAAAAAATAAGCTTTACTTACGACTTTAAGGTCTAAGACGCCGTCTTTCGCCTCTTGTAACAAACTCACGAATTTTGTAGTTAGTAAACCAAGAGATTTTTCATGTCGACTCGGAGTTCCTGGAGAACCAAAATCCGCCATGTTTCCGAGGTGCATGCTGCACACAATTCATGCGACCATCTGATTGGCTAAAGTCCAGTTTAAATAAGGCGCCCGTTAGATGACTTTGGAGCCATCTTATTTTAACAGGGGAGGGCTGATATACCATAAATATAAACCAAAATATCAATAAAAATCGAACATTAAACAACCTCCAAAATGAACATATGAATTAAATTCATTAGAAAAAATGTATAACTTTTCGTCTTTTTTTACATCTTTGAAATATTCATCGATTTTTATAACGAAGACACGATTCCTCAGCCTCCCCTCCCTGCTAATTTGAAAAGGCTCAAGAAGTTCGTTCCCAGGATACTTAGGATGACGTGAACATTTTCCCGCTCGCGGGCTTTTTAGCAAAAGTCGTCGAATCTTACGAAAATTAAACATTTGGCACAACAAAACAAATTAATATCGTATTTTTTCACTCGAAGAAATTGGTTTTGTGATGATTTATCAATTACAATTCATGAAAATCTTKAAACTAGAATTTTGAAGGGCTTTTTTTGGTTGATAATTTTTGGGACCAGCCCATAACTGAAATTCGAAGGCGTGCACGCGCTTATTTTTTAGGCGGCGCCACTTCGCACAGAAGCTCAACTTTCATAAAGAACAGAGTTCATTTGCAGGTAGGAGTTCTCCTCTTCCTCTTTTACCCTTTTTCTTCTTATTTGATACCATTTTATACCTCGAATGTGCTTTACTTTACAGCGGCCTACTGGTAGAACTGATGGTTGGACCTGAGAAGCTTTTTTTTCCTTTTTGCAAAGCCAAGGTGAGTGAGTTCCCAAACTTTGAATTAGAAAAAATTAAACCTTTTCCATGCATTTATTTTCAAAATACACGTTTACAATTGTCGCAATGCTTCAGTTTTACACAGTGCAAATGTTCAGGGGGAGGTTATTCATTTGGCTGAAATTCAATATGAACTAAATATAAATAACTATTTATTAACTATGCTAAGAGTAAACTATGTTTTATTTGAATTTATAAACAATTTCTGTAACTTTACTACTTTTCCCATTTCCTGTTGGAGAGGGGTTACGGTGGGATGTTCTTGATGGCTTCTTGTACAAGAAATTTGTTGCATAAAGAATGGCCCCTCTTTCGTTTTCCATTCTGTTGTATAAAGTGCTGTGTAAATTGGACTTTGCGTGCACCCCCCCCCCCCCGCTCCCCCTTGAGCCAGATTTTTTCAATACACTCCCCCCTCAAAAGTCTCTAAACTTGTTAACTTCGACTTTGACCATAATAAGTAGACTTTTCAGTTTTGCCTTGTCTGCATCCTTAGGCCAGGTTCGCATTTGCAATTTTGTGAGCACAAGCAGTATCAACATTAAAAAAACTTTTCTGTTATAAGTTATTTATTGAGAAACTTTTGCTTATTATGCAGCTATTCTTTTAACATTTAATAACATAATGGCAAATCATCCGAAACACAATTTCAGAAAATTATCAAATGAAAATATCTGTTCCATAGGGTCCCATCCTGCATTGAGCAGTTTGCACTGGGCCATACAATTTCCCAACCCCCCTACCCCCACCCAGACACACACACACACACACACCCCAGCATAAAAACACACAAATGCACATTGCTAGTCATTTATCTATACTTAATATGGGTTCAAATGTAAAGCATTTCCTTCAACTAAAGCTGACTGTTTACCATACCAGTGTTGTCTTCAATGTCTTCACACACTGACTCGACATACATGCCAAATTGGATTTATTATGTAACATTGTTTGAAGCGCAGAAAGCTGGAAGCTAAATTTTCCCCACCCCTCTCCCCTGGTGGTAGTAGTCTTCATGTTCCTCTTCCTATTCCCTTCTATTTACCATATCACAACAATCACAGTTCTCATCCCATTACCTAACTACTGTGGCATGATAATGAGTATGCAGTAAAAAATATTTATTGATGAAAACAAAACCTCCATAGATAATTTGGGAGCAGTTAAAGCAAATAAGTGTGAGATTGGAGATTGTACGTGTGTGTGTAGGGAGGGGGGGGGGGGGGGGGGGGGTAGAGAGGCTTCAAACTTGCACCTTCAAAATTTCATGCACCTCAATTTCAAGAGGTCCCAGTTAGTGTGTCCGCACAGTAACATAATCATTATGAATGATTCATATTATAATAACAACAAGTGCATGAAAAAAACTTTTAATATGTTTTTGATAATTCAGTACAAGAAACATTTGACTTTTTATAATAAAGACGTTGTACATTTGAATATATCTGTTTGGTGATAGAATATAAGTGAAAGCAGAAATCCTTAGGTTTTCCTTATGATCACATTAATATAATTCTTTATCTGGGATAATAACAAATTCAAAAATAATCTCTTCACGATTCATAAATGTATGCAATGTCTCAAAAAGTCAAGACTTTACCTTTTATTCACAAATGTAAACATCAAAGTTCATATTGCAGGTTCCAGCCTTTATTTCAATGTCATATATACAATATGGATTGTATATATATATATATATGTGTGAATATAGCTATGATACAGCATTATTAAAACATTATTAAATATTAAATCATTTTGTATTTCATCTCTTCTTTTTAGAAAAATGCATTACTGCTAGTATGAAATTAAACAATATGTCATTTGCGTACTACCGAGTCAGAGTGTGGTCAAAAAAATAATTGCTATGGTGCAACCCACAAAAATACAACTCCATGCTTGCTAACATTGTGTTAGTTTCAGAAATTATCCATACTCCACCCCCCCCCCCCCCCCCCCC